ATTGTTATTACCACTTTGCTATTAATTAAACTAAGTTTTAAAAATATGATAACTAGGGTTTCCAAAGATGCGTGAACTAACCCACGTTACTTAACCTCCCTTAGGATTTCCATTTTTCTCAGGGCGCCCCGGTGGCTCAGTCAGTTAAGCGTCCAGCTCTTGATCTCAGCTCAGGTCTTAATCTCAGGGTCGTGAGATCCATGCTGGATGTGGAGTCTACTTAAAAGAAAAAAAAAAGAATTTACATTTTTCTCAAGCTCAACTCACCAAGTGAATGAAGTGCCTAATATCATCCAACCAGAATATTTAGATAAGTCTAGAAGAGATTTTCTTGTGTGCCTTTACTTTGCCTCCCAGAAATTAAATCAGAGGAGAGAATGCTGGTTTAGAGGAATAGACTAAAGACTAATTTGCATTTGTGGGTTTTCCCTAAAGAAAACAAGAATTAACAGGACAACGTGAAACTGTGCCTGATTTGCTCAAGTACAAACTGAGGTCAGAAGCAGACACAGAATATGCGTGTAATGACTACCGTGAGGCACTTTTATCACTTCACAAGGTGCCACGGCTTTGGAGGGTGTGGTGAGGATAGAAGCCCTACCCATGTTTCATTTGCATTGGACCAGAAGCCTCAACTGACTGGATGGAAGAACTCCGGATAGGCCTGGGCAGGAGGCTCTTTCTAGTTACGGGCAGTGTGCCTGTGAGCGGGGTTATACTTGTACAGGACGGTCCTCATGTTTTGATCAATGTGTAAAATGTATTTTGCTACAGTTGAGCGTCTCCCTGCTGTGGCAATATCTGCAAGATGGTGTGCATTGTATTATTGACCTAAGTGGACATGTTCAGAGCAAGTCAGAAGGAGCTTAGCATTATGTCAGATCGGGATCAAAGAGACAGCATGTGATTATTTATTCATTCATCTGTTACTTTGTTTATTCAGCAGATATTGAGAACCTGCCATGTTCTAGGCATCAGCACTGTAGTAGGGAAGACAAGCAATGTCTTTACCCTTGTGAAGTTTATATGGTACAGGGGAAGATTGGCATTAATTAAATTGTTTAAATAAATATACAAGATATATACACAACTGTGCGTTGTGAGGGCAGTGAGGAAAGTAAAGAGGAGATAAGATCTACCCCATCAGAGAAGACCTGTGTGATGATGTCACACTTGTACTAAGACATCCCATATGCATTAATCGGCCAGTCAAAGACAGGGAAATATACTAGGCAGAGGGAACAGAAGACAACAAACGGACTGGCATGTTTGGGAGCAGAAGTGGGGGAGAGCAAGGGAAAGAGTAGCATGATATGACATTGGACAGTTTGGGTGGGGGCCAGACCACGCAGCACCTGGCCACCATTGTTTTCACCTGACGCTGAAATGGCAGCGCTTAGAAAGGACCGTGGCTTGGGCTAGAGTCAACGCAATGAGAACAAGAGAGCTGGAGGGGTTTAAGATGTACCTTAAAGGTAAGAGTGGCAGGACTTAATGCAGGACTGAATGTCAGGAATGAGGAAAAGAAAAGAAACAAGAAAAACAAGGATGACTCCTGGCTTGAGTAACTGGATTGTGGTGCCATTTTCTGCGGCTGGAAAGTTAAATAACTTGCCAGATCTCACTCGATTCGGACACTGAAGTCTAGTCTGTGTGAATTTGCTTTTTTCATTTTTTTAATCTGTGAAGTGAGGTTAATAGGTTATATAGGTTTCCAAGATATCTTCCAGATTTGCAATTACATTCTCTGCTAGATTAAATTGTTAATATAGACATATCCTGAGGTCTTAAGGAATATTGTCAGACCCTGGCATGTGATAAATAGTACTATTAATGAATAAATCTTTTATATCAAAACTTGTGGCCAAAATTTGGAGGGTGTTTTTTTTCCTCATGCAAGCAAAAGAAAAGGTGATTTTGTCCATTTTCTCTTGGACACGATGTTTTTCTGGAGTCTTTCAGCAACAAGGTAGTTTGTTCTATAAAGTAAGATTACATTACAGACTATCTCTTGCAACCCCAAACTACAGCTGCAAGGCCCAAACGATAAATTGCCTACAGTGAAGCAGTTTTTGAAGATTATGCTTGGGCCGCCACTCAGGATACAGGCAGGTTTCTATAGAGAGGGAAAGGTGACATTTCAGTGATCCTAAAAACTGCCTGCAGCTCTAATCCACCATCTGGGGCTCATCCGTTTTGGCCAGGTCTAAGATTCTATTGCTAACAAAGGCAGTCCCCGCTGTCTCAAAGCTATAAATTTCTGAAATACACGTCATGAGATAGATCGTTTTTACCCATGGAAACAATGGAATTGTGTCCTTGACAAAGGAATTGGCAGGCCAGGAATCTTAGGTATATGCAACAACATGTGAGTAAAGCAAAGCAGACACTCTAAATCCACCCAAAGACCCCCTTATTGGACTATAAGCCCCAGAACCAGTTAGGATGCTACAAGGAGCAGAAAAATCCAACTTCAAAAGCCATGAGCAGTAAAGATATTTAATGTCTCATGGAGCAAGTCCTTTTGAGGCTGGTTCAGCCGTTCCGTGATATCTTAGGGACTCAGGCTCTTTACCTCTCTGCTCTACCTGCAGCAGAGTGCCTTGACCCGGAGGCATATTGCCTCATATTTCAAGATGGCTGCCACAGTTCTGGAAAACAGGTGAGCCAACACTGGACCAAAGAAGTGGGTCATTTTCTTCATTGTGTCTCCTTTAGTGAGAGAGAGAGCCTTTCCCAGAAGCCCCAAGCAGACATCCCCTTAAGTCCTTGTCTGTGGAGCACCCAGGTCTCCCACCGCCCACTGTCTAGAAGGTAGGACATTACCCTAGACTTGTTCCCCTCTCCTTTATTTCCTTCACTCTCTATGACCTCTCCATTCAGGCTTTAAATCGTCTGTCTCCTACCCTCTATCTCTATGTTTACTACATTAATTCAGATCTTCATTATCTCAATCTTTCTCTGGTTCCACTTTATCTTCCATATTGCCACTGAAACGATCTTTTAGAACACATATCTCATCATGACACTATCCTGCTTAAAACCCTTCAGTGATTCTTAATCACATATGTGATTACATTTCAGTTTTTTTTCTAGCTGTAGGAATGACCTCTCCCTTCCCTCTTTTATTAAAAAAAAGACTTACGTGGAAGCTCAGTACAGCTAACAGATGGGTGTAGACCTGCTGTGCTGAAATGGGGTGGGGAAAGGGCCCAGAGCCAGGTGGAGCCCTCTGTTCTTCTCAAAGGGAGGCCACAGAGCCCTTCCCTGGGTCCCTGGTGGTACAGGCAAATCGAAACACCTCCATGCCAATTGATACGGACCTCAGGAGTGTCAACCAGGCTAGCGGCACAGGCTTAGATGGTAGTGGAGGCCAGGGTCAGGAACATGGTCTCTCAGAGTGTGCAGAGTGAGAAGGAAAGAGTTAGGGTTATGAATGCACTGCCCCCAAGCCATGCAATATTCCAATAAAGTTTCTGTTTCACCTTCAGACTTTACGAATGTGCCTTATAGTCTCTGATTGTGTTAGACAAGTTAACCCAATCAGATGCTTGAGGATAAAGTGAGAATGGTTGAAGAACAAAAGGCAACTAAGAGCAAAAACTGAGAATAACAATTTCTAATGGTATGAATGGCTATCTTGGTGTTTACATTTTCATTTTTACAGTGTTTTTTACAGGTAAAAGATTTGCAATTTGCTTGGAATCCCTAAGATTAGACTTTTTTTTTCTTTCACAAAGCTTTTCATATCAGAAATCCTGAGCTGACCAATATTTCATGTATTTCCATTGCTGACCAAGGCAGTTTTGAGTTAAATAGGCGTAAGAATGGAATTTCAAACTGAAATATAATACCTGAATATGCTAAATATTCTAATTATTCTCCCTGCTCCTGATATTGACCTGTATTTATTCTTTGTGTCCACTTAAGAATTCAGTCTTGTTTATTGTTCTGTGAAGGCTAAAGAGCTGTTTAGGTGCAGTTTACATTCTGTTATAGAATAGGCCTTCTAAATGAGGAGGGAAATATTAATGAAGACACTGATGGATAATTTTCACAAGCAAAGGCGTTAACAGTTTCAAGCAACAGCTTAATGGGTCGTACATTTCAGCAGGCATTTGCATACTCAGTGACACTGTCAGGAGGGAGGGAGGAGAGAGGAAAGAGTCGGACAGAGGACACCAGGCAGGAAATAAGGCCAGGCTCCCGGGGGACCACACTGTCCATCTCTATTTGCTTTTATCCACTCTCATTTCAAGAGGGGTTTGAGAAGAGCTTGTCCTTTTGTGTCTTTTATAGGTTCCAGGCAAGCAGGTCGTCAGTCTGGCTCCCCTTCTGACTCTGACCACCCCAACCCCCACCTTCCATCTACCTAGATCTCATTTCTGTCTTCAGAAGGTTTTTCTGCTTCTGCCTTTATAGTCTGCCCCCATTACACCCTGGAGCTGACCTGTTTCTGGCTGCCCATCTTTGCATCAGACTTTGTATGGGCAAGTTTGTATGGGCAGCTCCTTCACGGCGTGATAGGATCAGGCTGTTGGCATCTGTCATTTACTGCCTCTTCCAGACCCTCCAGCTGAGGAGCTCACAAGACCCCGCCTCCTCCTCACTTTCAGCTGGGGCTCCACAGAAATGAGGCACCAATGAGAAGCAAAAACAAATATATCAACTGCCAGAAGCTTCAAACTGATTTTGATTCTCTCCTAATCTTTTTAAATGTGATATGTGTTTAAATTAAGAGGAGCAGAAACAAAAATGATTTGGGAAAATGATAATGTTATCCTAGCCTATTTCAGTAACATTCTAACATGGTTAAGAAAACTGCCTGTCAGATTTGATCAGTGTTGTTGAAGTGAACAGCCATCATTCTCAGGAGTGTCTGGAGTTAAATTCTCACCCAGCAGGAGCAGTTTTAATGGCTGAAGAATCCAGTAACAACAAGAAATAGCTGAATCTCAATGCACCGCTGACCTCTTACAATGCCTCTCTCTGTTTCCCAGGTACAACGTGTCTGATTGCTCTACTATCAGATAAGGACCTCACGGTGGCCAATGTGGGTGACTCGAGAGGGGTCCTGTGTGACAAGGACGGGAACGCCATTCCTCTGTCTCATGATCACAAGCCTTACCAACTGAAGGAGAGAAAGAGAATAAAGAGAGCTGGTGAGCTTGTGAGCACCTCCAGGTGCTGCCTGCCGTCCTGTCCGGTGAACAGGGTGGCTTGCTTGCATTGCCTGTGGGGGATGAGACGTTCGGTTACCCCGTGACTAGTAGATCAGCACAGAGGATGCTGCTGAGGTAGCTGACACTTGACTTTGTGACATTTCTTGTCGAATAAATGGCCACCGAACTTGCCCTTCCTCATGGCCAAAGATTCCAAAAGAGCCCCCCAAAAAGCCCTTTCCTAGTTTAAAGGCTAATGAGATCTTTGGGCTCCTGCTTGCCTCACCCTGCTTCCCTCCTGCTTCCCTCCAGCCACACCAGACTAGCCGTTCCCCAAATGAGCCATGTTTCTGCCAGCTCTGTGCCTTGGCAAGCGCCAGCCCCACCAGCCAGTGGATAACAATTACTTGTCCTTTAAGACCCAGTTTAAGGGTATCCTTTTGGTAAGCCTTCCCTGTCACTGCACCAAAGGCTCCCCCAGTCTAGGTTAGGTGCCCCTTCAGTTTCCCCACATCCTGTGTGGGTAACCTGTTGGGTTACCCTTCACAATATGGACATACTTGGTTCTCTCATCTGTTCTGCCTTCCTGATTGTGAGCTCTTTGAGGGCAGGAATTTGGTCTTGTTCTTTCTGTACTCCCAGCATCTAGCTCAGTGCCTGGCACAAGTAAATATTCTGGGGTTGGGTGGCAGCGGGGGAGGGTCTCTTTTCATATTTTTTTCAACATCTAGAGACTAGGGATACAAACTTACATTCTGGAATTGGGATGGGATGGGGGAATGTTAACAATAAATAAGTAAAAATAAGTAAATTATCTAGTATATTATAAATGATAACTATTATGAAGAGACATAAAGCAGGCAAGGGAATGGGGAGTATTGGGGGTGGTCACTACAGGCCTCACTAAGGTGATATTAGGACAAAGACTTGAAGGAAGATTATCAGTTGATAATTACACTTTCATGATTCACTTTGCGGGATTCTTTTCTGCCCATGGAAGGGAGGACTCCCTCCCTCTCCAGACTGACAACTGCAGCATGTTGGCTGTGCATGATATGCCAGGTGGCAGGCCCAGCGGTCCAAGGGGAGCTCAGGTACCCTGGGCCTCTAACCAGAATGGGCCCCTGCTGCCTGGGGTAATTGCAGTTGACTTTCTCTCTCTACAGGTCAGCCTCTGCCCGGAACCTAATCAACATTTGAGTTTTCACAGTAAGAAACTGTACTTTTGAGTCAAAAACTGTTGAAATGTATTACAACCTCCTGCTTCAGTAACTGCTTGAGATGCAGAATAATTTTTAATGAGAGCTTTAGTCAGGCTTTTTGTTGGTGGGACGGAACAAACGATGTTTTAGGAGTATCCATCAAGCTCTGATGAGCTGCAAGCAGTATGAGCAAATACTCCAGCTTCCTTACTTACAAAGACACCATTTCCCTATGAGTCTGCTGTGACCCTGGACTTAAGATTCAGTTAACCTACTCTTGTGGAAGCACACGCAAGGATGTGTGTACAACACCTGGAAATGTCATCTTAGCATCCCGCGTGCCCTTCTGCAATGGCATTCCCATTGTATCCTCTCTCCTCGTCCTTCCCATACCCCCCACCTGCACCCCCATCCTCCAGGGATGCTTTATAGAGGCCGGTTTGGACACTGTCTCCAAGGAGGTTAATTTAACCCTGTGTCAAGGGTGTATTTTATAGCAAGGCTTAAGGGACAGTGATTGGTGTTATTACCTTGATGTGTATTTTCTCTGACCTCAGCCTTCCTTTCAGGACACCTTTCCCTGTCCTACTTAGCATAACAATACACTACGACCAGTCTGGGCCAAATATGAGTTGGTCCTTCTGTCTTAACTCCTTTTGTTGTTTCCAACAACAGCAACATCAGCTGCCATTTATTGTTTGCTCACTCTGTGCTGGGAGCCAAGCCTAGTTATTTACATATGCTTTCTCTTTACTTAATAATGTTATCCTCATTTTACAACCGAGGAAGTAGACCCTCAAAGAGGCATGTGTGCCTCTTTGGCACACAGGACACACAGCTAGTGAATAGTGGGACGAGAATCGAGACCCAGGACACTGACTCTGGAGCGCATGCTCTTGCTTACTAGACCACACTTCCTGGAATGTTCTCATACATCCCTGCCCATAGAAGTCCTACCCATCGTTCAAAGCCTCGCTTTATTGCTCACTCTTCCCTGATCATCACAACCAGGTATCATTGCTCCTCCTGCATCTGACTACAGCATTTAGCAGGTACTAGTTTCTTCTCAAAAGAATACTGCTTTGTGCTTACAGTTGTTAATACATGTAGCTTTTCCTTTCTGCTAGACTATCTGCTTCTTTAGAGAAAGGTCTGGATCTTGTATAACTTTATAGCCTACAAAATGCCTTGCATGGAGTATACATTTGATAGATATCTGACAAATAATATGTGAATGAACAAAGCCCTAGCTCCCTTAAAGAAAAAATAATAATAGGTAATACTGAGTGCATGGAGTACATGTGATAAACAGGCACTATGCTAAGTGATTTATACGGAGTAACTCCTTTATTTCTCACAACTCAGTGGAAGAGGTACTATTCAGCGCTCTTTGGCCATTGTCCTCGAATCCCTACCCTAGGGCTACCTACTGTCAATCAAGGAGCCCTAAAGGTGTTGTTAAGTTAAAACCAATGCCCTCACCTATATGTATCTGCCTACCCTCACTATTTTTACTGATATATTCCTCAGAGCCTTTAAGATGAGGATCTCCTGATAAAGTGTGAAACCTCAAGCCATGCGGCGGGAAGGCTATTCCTTCCTGGCAGTGCCCAGGGGAGGTGAGGGGGGCATACGCAGGAGATGAGCCTTGTGTACGTGCACCCAGACTCTCCTGTGTGTGTGAGATACCAGCTGCTCAAGCTAATGAGCTCATTCTGTCTTTGCAGGTGGTTTTATCAGTTTCAATGGCTCCTGGAGGGTCCAGGGAATCCTGGCCATGTCTCGGTCCCTGGGGGATTATCCGCTGAAAAATCTCAATGTGGTCATCCCAGACCCAGATATCCTGACCTTTGACCTGGACAAGCTTCAGCCCGAGTTCATGATCTTGGCATCAGATGGCCTCTGGGATGCTTTCAGCAATGAAGAAGCTGTTCGATTCATCAAGGAGCGCTTGGATGAACCTCACTTTGGGGCTAAGAGCATAGTTTTACAGTCATTTTACAGAGGCTGCCCTGACAATATAACGGTCATGGTGGTGAAGTTCAGGAATAGCAGCAAAACGGAAGAGCAGTGAACCCTTCCGGGTCTTGGCTTCCCTTGCCTAAAGGACTCTCAACACACTGGTCTCTTCTAATGTAGTGAAAACGTGGGAGTTACAGTTAGGATCAGCCACCTAGACGTGGGATTCCCCGCCCTGGTGGGCATAGGTCTATATGCAGTAATGAACAGAGGGTGCTCTTGGCCCACGTAGCTGAGAGGCTGGAAAATGGTTTCTTCATGTGTTCCCAATTCTTTCCTCCGATGTTCAAAATATATAAATATATAGCTGTAGATTCACAAGTATGACGTGAACGGCACATGTGCCATATATTCTCCCCTTTGGGATTCTTTTCAAGACCTCTTCCTGGATTCTCCAGGCATCAGACTCTGTCCTGTCTTTGGAGTGGTGCACAGAGCAGGCCTCCAGAGCTGCAGGGGACGGCCTACCGTGGCCCCTGTGAGTCTGGGCGGACAGGCCGATGCCCGCTGCTGAGCGGCAGAGCTATCCTGAGAGGGCTTTGTCCTCCTGAGCCCAGCTTTTCTGCTCAGCAGCAGCCCAGACACAGATGTGAAATGGTTTATTATTCCATGGCCGCTTTTGGAGACCGGGGGGAAGTGGGAGGATGAGAGCCGCCTGCACAGCAGACATAACCTTTTCCCCTGGCTTCCTTTCTTACTTAAATAGACTCTGTGTGCCACCTGACCTGTCTTCATGCGTTTATCCTAATCGTGCATGACCTTAACCTTTTGCTTCTACCTTACCTTATGTAATAGGCAGCTGTGAAACCACCACCAGACGCCACGATTTTTTGTCTTACCAAGAAACCTATTAGGGGAAATGAACAAAGCAAATCACAATACCATAATTTCTGCACTCTTTAAGGGTAGATAGAGGGAAATAGTGGCCAAATAAGTCACAGTGCCCCCTGGGAAATCTGCTGTTTGCGTTAGGAAAGAAAGCTGGGGAGGTCACCACCCTGAACTGAGCTCCGGTGGCCATTTTTATGCGGGTTTTTTTCCTTCTCTCTCTCCTGTCCCAGTAGCTTTCAAGTGTCTTTCAAGCAGTGTTCTGATCGGCACAGCCTTGAACTGCATGTGTGTTCCTTGAAGCCGAGGACAGAGTTCCCAGCACAGCTGGGCATTTGGTGATAAAAGGCTGGCACGTGCTTCCCCTTGACAGTGGAAAGGCAGCTGCCCGTAACATTTGGATGCAGATCACTGTCCACACCAGGTAGCTTTCCCCAGGCAACCACAGCCCGCGCCCCCCTGCCCTGCGTGCCGTGGCAACCATGCTCGCTGGCTGGGAATTCAAGCCCAAACCTGTATTGGTAAGTGGCTCAGAGTTATTTCGGGGCCAGTCTTGCCGCTCTTCGTGCCCTGTCCACCAGAATCATGTTTCCAACCTCAGTGTTTTATAAATTAATTGACCGAGTGCTGGGTCGGCCCGTTTGCCTGACTGAGGTGGCTCAAACAACCAGACAAGATTTTTGTTGTGTCCCTACCCTTCTGTGTCTGAAATGCCGAGGTGTCCACCTGGTTTTGTCTTTCTCAAGTGGAAACATTAGTCTTTAGAGCTTCTCAAAGGTCCAATTTACTGGCCACCTCCAGCCCACAGTGCCCCTCCCTCCCTTGCCTTTCTTCAACTGTGGAGCTTTCCCGAAGCGGGTTCCAGGGGAGAACTTGGGAGGATGAAGTTTCCCTTGTGGCTGCCAAGGGCTGCAGCCTGACTGGATTCCTCCAAGCACTTACCGTCTTTTGACTGCAATGAGAATTAATAATGGTTTCCCAAGCGATTTGCTCACTTTTGTAAACTGTAGCATTAGAATTTCCAGCATTAGAATTAGAACCCTGGTTATTTTTTTTTTTTTTTAGGTACAGAATGTTCTAGTACAAAATATCTGTCACCATTTTAGATTGAAATATTTGCCTATTGAGAGACAATGAACAATTGGATGTGTGTATTTGGGGACGGGGTCAGGGGAGAGGAAGAGGGGAGACAGGCTGGTTGTGCTCAGTGATGGGATGGGCAAGCCAGGTGGCCTTGCTTGGAGATCTAGGACATTCTGACTCTGGCAAGTTACCAAAGCCCACCATCTAACTGAAGGTCAGGAATAAGCAATTTCAGCATTTTATGCTACCCAGTCCAATTTCCTTTTTTTATTTTTAACCCTAAAATTTATATTGACAAGGGAAAGAGATCTTTTAATTCCATGATCATTATTAGTAAGATGAAAATAGACATGTTTTGGTGAAGATGAAAAAGCAAAGCTACAGGAAATTAGTGTTTGTTTACCCTGCACAGGGTCTTCCTGGGTGGTGCCGAGGGCAGGCGTGCTGGCCTTCCCCTCCAGCTGAGGTTACCGGGTGTCTTCTACAGTTTGCTTTGTAGAATTAATTCATTTCTGAATTTAACCATGTAGTGTGTGTATTTCCTACTCCCTTTCTTCTGCCTCTTTTCCTCCCACTTTGGCTTGTAGATTTTTTAAAGACAGATGTTTTAGGCAAAATAATAGCAGTTTGATTAAGAGTTATGTCTAAAATCAGAGCACTTTGCTTCCCCCCCCCCCATCCTGGAGCTCTCTCTCTCTCTCTGCCCCTCATCCAGCTGTTGGGGGTCTGCAGACATCACCCCAGGGGTGCCCTGTGGCTCATTTTCTAGGGACAACAAGGGAAAAGTTGAATCTAGCCTTTAGGGAAATTGTTTTGAGAAGTTTGCATGTGAAGCTTCCCTAAACAGCACTGCCAAAGCTTTGGAATTATCACATGAGGCTGCCCGGACTCCCCAGCCCGAGTTCGCATTGCCAATAGCCCCATAGTGCCAAATTTGGGGATGGTTTTTCATTTCTTTTAGAAATGACGTTGGGAATGAATGACCACATGCTTACGAGCCCCCAGCAAGATGCCAAGCGCAGACCCTCATGAATGCACCGCTCCGCTGTTGCCCCACCAGCAGTTTGTACTCTTAACATGGGTTGGGATTGGGGGGAGGGGATAGGACAAGATAGGGAAAATTTTTTTGAAAATTCACTGTATTTGCAATTCTCTAATTAAAGGAATAAATAATACATTAAAAACTCCAAAGCTAGTTCCCAAGACCTGCATTCATTTTATGTGACCAACTTGCCCAAGGCACTGAGCTCTGAAGTCACTATTCTAATACAACATGACTGTGCGCATATGTACACATTACTGGTAACCCGCGGCTGTGTTCTGTGCCTTGCCTTAGATAGAGGTATTGGCCTCTTGAATCTTCTCTCTGTAAAAAGAGTATTACAGAGAGTGTTTTCTAGAGTGAAGGAGCATATGCAATCTGGGTAACTTAAAACAGGGCTTATTTCATGCAACTGTAATGATTTCAGCCCACATACATTCTGTGCAGAAGGGATTGTGTGAGGATGATGGCATTGTTTCAATCCTATCTGAAGTAATTCTGGGAAACTGATGACATTATTGAATTGGATCATTTGGATATCCGGCAATACATGAGGGATACGCAAGGGAGTGATCACCTTTTCCTTTGCCAAGTATATCTTGATTTTCTGGATGTTTTTCCCCCTGAATTATTGCTAGATCTAATACTCTTACAACCATGTCATGTCAATGAAGAAGGTTTAGAAAGGGCAACATTTCACTGTACATTTGAAAGTATGTGAATACACACTCTGGATGAAGTTTTATTCTTCCATGATTTCAGAAATGATTTTTTTCTCCTTTGACCCATCATCATTAGACTGATCTTCCCTTAATATTCTCCTAAAATTGCCTTAGCCGGTCACACCAGCGTTCCTGAACCAGCTCTGCAGAAATGACATGACTGTTAGATACCACACTGGGGCCTATTTAATTGCCTCTAGGTTAAATCATTGGTATCTGGACTTTTGAACTACTTAGTTGAACACTGCAGGAGTAAAAGAATCCAGTGTTCCCCCAGAGTGTGTTCCATAGAACACAGTTCCAAAGATGATCTTCCAAATATAGGGTTCCATGGTCAGATGAGTTTGGGAAAGATACTATCTTAAAAAGTTAGTGCATATAAGCACACAGAAGGTTTTAATTTAAATGCCCTATGGGTGGGCGGTGGAGACGGGAAGAAACACACCACAAATGTAATTTCAGTTAGCTCAGTGCTTTCCAGATTAATTTGGCCAGAGAAACTTTTTTGAGTAACACCTAGTAACATTCCAAGGAGCTTGTGTTCCACAGGACCCACGTTGGGAATTTCTGGCATATGGAAATAGTACTATTTTCTCATTCACTACAACTCTTAGTGGTAGCCGCACATTTTGCAATTTTGAAACACGAGTCCTTTTCACATATGAGGCTGATTTGTTAATGAAAGTGGGAAGAAACAGTATGACTTAATAAGACCCATCAGCAGCTTCCCATTGATAACAGAAGCCCAGCAGTCCTACCTGAAGCTCTAAACTTCTCTCTTTTGTGTTAATAATAGGCAGGAGCCTTGCCCTATAGCTAGGGATTTCTCATATTCATTCCAAGAGCTTTCAGTTGTGTTTTTGAAGTCATCTTTGCTTTCCAGATTGAATCAAAATAAATATTTTTACATCTCATCACTATGTGAAAGTTTAGAAATACATATTTAAAACAGAAAAGGAGGAAAAAGACATTTGGTTATAATTCATTTTAAAATTTTAACTAGATTTTTAAAATTATGTATCCATTGTATAATAATGGAAATGTAAACTATTAACACTTATCTACTCTTTGTCCTCTGTCATTCTTTCCAGATTCAATGAAATAATCTGAAATCAACCAAAGCTCATTTGTTCTAAAATCCCTGTCCTGTGTTGTCCCACTTTTCACATATTATGTATAGGATTAAGTTTGGTGAGTTACCTCTTGCTTAAAATGTAGGGCTTGGCTATAACTCTGTACTCGTCACGCTCGGCCTGGGCAGGCCTGGGACGCGCTAGGGAATCCTGAAATAACAGATGAAACAAATTTAGTCCAAAACACCACGCACAGTGAAGTTAGGGTAAAGTCATTAATCAGAATTATCAGGAATACATCCACCCTGTGGACATTATCCAAAATAGTAAAAAACTGAAAGTAAAACTGCTTAAGCTAGGTGGCAGATTTCAGAGGGCAAGTGACAGTTGAATTAGATATGTGCTTCTAGACATGTTTGGTAATATGTAAATTTTTTTTGCTAATTCTTAATGTCGGTGCTTTGTTATTTTCTCTTTTTACCACTGTTAAACCGCAGACTGTTTAACTAAGGGTGGATTATGATCATTTTGATGTGTTTAGTAATAACCACACCATCATTTGTA